ATGGCGTTGATAATCAATCATTTTAATTATTAATTTTAGGCATTAAAGACTGATAATATTTTATATACATATGTATTTACACTATATACATATCAAAGTATACCGCTAATGACTTATACTTAAAAAAAAAACTTGATATCCGATATAGTTATAAGAACATGGTAGTCAATCAAAGTTTAGAATATATATCGTAACTTTTCACCTGTAATGTAATTAAACCTACTCAGAGGAGACCGTCACTTATTTAGTAGCCTGTACCTTATTACTCGCTTAATAGGTATTCAATGTGACTAAATGGCTTCTGATCTAATCACGATAAGTTGTATCGGAACTGGCTTTTGGGATCCCTTGGGAAGTTATCGTAGTTTATGAGCTTCGTATACGATAGAACGTCAAAACTCTTTTCTAATCTTTCGGTCTGATAAAAAATATCTTTTTCAATATTCGTTAAGGATTATAAGGCTTAAGAAGGTTTCATATCTTTGCGTTAGACTGTATGTATAGGCAATGATGACATATGTCAGTTTTAACAAAGTAGATATTAATAAAGACAAGTAGTTTTGCCCCAAACGAATTTCTCATTTAGGTAATGCTTTTAGAAAAGCTGGCTGTGTAAATATAAAGGGAGGCCCATTACTTTTTACGGCGGGCACTATAACCGCGTAGACATAGGGATCAAAGTGAAGCGGAGCGTAATGGAAGTCTTTGTCGAAGGTCGCAATTAGACGAGGCGTTTAATTACAAAATTCACGGTACCAACGAGGCTTCACTTCCCCTACTCTTTCGTAGGTTTCCGCTCCAAAGGGGCGCCGTAGCAAGTTGGGAATAGCAGAATGTTTTGGGAGTGACCGCCTTTTGATTCTCTTTACTATCAAACACGAAATCAAGACGTCCCAGGCCATTTAATTAATGTTCGACACATGAATATATTTCCGAAAGCGTAATATGATCATTTTGTAACACGAAAAAGTGATAAATATAAAAAATGTCAAACGTAACACAACACCGAACGAGTATGTTTACATTTCAGACAAAGAACATTATAAATGACTGCGTCTAGTCGTAAATTAACATTAAATAGTTAGTATAGTTACGTCAAAATTTGAATATTCAAATACGCTTTTGCGTAAATTATGTCTCCATACGAAGCAACCTGTCTCTTCCTAGGGTTGCCTGCAACTTGATATTTCTCGGATACGTTAAATTGTAATTCGTCTTATGTTGAAGCTTAAGTGCTATCAAACAAGGGGTTTCGACAGGATAAGTTACGGTAATCTTATACGTCTGTGCATTTGAAATGGTATCTGTATCGACGCAGCTATTTACATACATGGGATAGTATAGTCCCGATATATATTGAGAGCTGCAGCGGTCAACTGTTTTACTTGATTTTATAAACGAACGTGGTTTATCGCTATCCATTTTCATTCCTTATTTTTGACATTTAGTAGGGATGATCATATCAGATTTTTGTTTCTCTTTGACTTGAAGAACACTTCCACAGAATTATAAATTCACAAAAATAAACACGTCTTATTGTAATCAGTTTTAATTCATACTCTAATATAGATCGTAACAAATAATTTACTTAATATTTATAACTTTAACTTGAAGTAAGGTTTTTAAAAGTTTACATATCAATCCTGTATATTATTAATTAAAATTGTTTATTTAAATCGTACGAGTAAAAGTTTATTTGTAAAAAAAAATGTTGCTAATAATTAAAAGTACTTCGAGCCATTTAAAGTAATTTTTATTTTCTTTTGTAAGTTTCAAAAGCGTTCGTACTTCTTTTGTAACAGAATCGAGCTGGTGGATGGTTCAATCAAGGAATCCATCTCATATAATCATAAAAGAAACACTCATAACTGCGCGAACTGTTCGTACTCTTTTCAAGTTCTCACAGACAGCTATTTCGTATTCCCATAAGTGTACAACAGATGATTTATTAAATGGAAGCGTTCTATAAAATTACGACGTTTCACGTCGGCCTTACAGACAGAAGAAGCGTCGCGTCGCGGCCGCGGCGATAAATCATCTACTTTTAATTTGGCCGAAGACATCGTTGTGCATTTAACGTCCTGACGGGACTTCCCCTTTTATTTTCATTCGCCCCTTGCGTCGTAAAACATAGGCGTGACGCCTCTCGCGTATCCAGCGGCAGTTTCACGGATCGGATGTTGCTGCTGGACGTTTTCGCCTTCCTTTTCAGTTTCAGTTTACGGAGCGCCCGCGTCAGAGGAATCGACGAGCGCCATCACTGTAATATTTTTAAAAAATATTTGTATACATTTTCACACAACGTTCTTTAGTCGCAAACTTAACAACGCTTGAGCTATGGGTACTAGATAATTGATAAACATACTTTTCTTTTGTAAATAAATACCTATTATACATGTATAAACACCCAGGCCCTGGAAAATCACTATGTTAATCGCACAATATCTTTCCAGTGGTGGGGACCGAACTCACACCCTCTGGCGCAATATGCAGCTTCACTACCCACTACACTATCTTTTCATGAAACATACCCTTTTCGTTGATACGTCTTTTTAACTTGGATGAGTTGGAATTTTATAAACTAAGGAATGCCTAAACAAGGTTTACTGTGATTTAGTTAAAGTTTATTCTGAATTTGGTACGATTTATGCCTATTTTTATGGTCGTAGTACGGCTATACCGTTCTTGAACTAATTTGATGATTGTAAAAATATAAGCTTGTAATGTTTCAATGAAAAGTGTTGGAGGAATTTATGGTTGTTATATTAATTCATTAAGTTTGCTGTAAATGTTTATGTGATATTTTTGAGTAAATACTGTCATAAACAATTTTTACGTCATTCTGAAATCAGTTATGCAAATAAGTGTATATTTGAAATTGCTCAAATATTGTTAATGAATCATATATCCTATTACGTTATTATTTTCACTATGCTCACAAACGTCAAGTAGTTTAACAATAACAATCAGAAACGTTATAGATAGTTAATTCGGTATACGGTATTTAAAATATTCTCTTTAACATAAACTCTTGCCGCGACGACAAGCCTGTCGTTTTATATTCCACTATCGAAGCAACTGACGTTGAAAGTCACAAATTACCTCTTTAGAACATTTCGCCGAAGCGGACTCGTTATATTCAAAACGCCTACGTCTTACCAAGTTTAACGGCGCATTATTATCTCTCCTCGCATTGGATCTGCTGAGAATAAGCGCCTTTGACAACCCTACGGCTGGCCTAGATTACGACGACCGGATTGAATTTGTTTAGCCCTATAAATATTATATTAAACTTTCCACTATATTAACTGTTATGTGCTCTACGAAGCATAACATTTCCTAAATAATATTTATTTTTGCCATCTTCAACTCATCCAATTATAATATTAGGATGATTCTAACCTAGTTCTTCCTTATAATTAATCAATTAATTATCGCCTGCCTGAGTTTTCTTTTACCTTCAGTTTTCAAGCTAGTCTTGGTTCGACGTCGCTCCAAGGTTGAGAATATTTTTCGAAATTGTTTCAGTTGGCATTGTTATTTTTTCAGATTTTAAATGTTTCTCCACATCGCGTATTGTGTAAAAAGTTATTTGATTCTATCTGCTGACAATGTCATATATCGGTTCAATGTGTTATACATATAAAGTTTCCTCTTGAATCATTCGTTGAGTAGTTTTAAAGATCTAAGCATACATAGAGATAGACAGACAGCGGGATGACTTTGTTTTATAACATGTAGTGATGATGCACAGCAAAGAGACGTTTACATTTCAAGTGACATTTTACCACAGTCACTCACTTGTTTGCCTTCCCGGAACCCCTTCACTAACACTTAAACTTTATATTGTACTGTATTGTATTAAAGTTCAAGATGATTTTTAAATATTATTACGAATCTTTTGTACGGAAATGTATAAAAGTGTTGTTTTTAGACTTTTTCAGGCAATTGTTTAATTTTTTTCTCGAGACTTGCGTTAGCAACACATTCAGATTATTCGATTCATTTTTATATATAGGAAATATAAATGCATATTTTTGAGATGATAATATAAATATTTGGAAGATACGCGAAGGTTGTTAATTCTCAGTAGGATCACGTTATGACTATGACTAAATATGTGAAAATATCTAACACCTTCTGGCCAGAGCTAGTACTTAAGTTACTTTCACTTAAGTTATTTTTCAATTTATCGTACATCAACTCTTATTTTAATAGGTAAAAACTGAACAGGCTTTAGCGAGTGCGGTTATAGTTAATGACATCGCTGCGTCCATCGAATATTTTACACGCGCGAAACTTTCAAGGAAGCACTAGCGAATTCGTTCGAGAGAAACGCAAAGGGGTGCATAAGACAGAAGCTTCCCGAAAATATTCCGTGCGATCGGACCGGCCGGTCTGAAATGCGCTACGCAAAAAGAGCCCGACTTCAAAGCGTCCAGGGCCCGGTCGACGTGACGGGAGTTGGAAATAGCCTCTGCCGTGGCCGGCACCGTCCTCTCGCCCACGGGGATGTTCGAGCCGAATCGCCCACCGTTTCCAACAAGTCCTAACCCGTCTTAGCGGATCGCTTAGAATTCCAGCTGATTGATCTCTTTTTAAGAGAGGAATCCAAACTAGAAAGCGGCCTTTATTTGTAAGTTGACTCGCTACTGGTGCCCGCATATTTGCCGACCGGATGACCAAATACATTGTTGTATTTACAATATGTTGCATGTTGTGTTCGCTCATACGTTTTAAGTTAATATTTTTTATTAATAACTCTACTATAAATGTACTGGCATTAATAACTAATTTGTTCACACACTTAATTAAGGGAACACCTTTAAATATCTACACACTTTACGTTAACTTTTTCTTTTAGTTTATCTTTTGTTCCTGTTTGTTTTCAATAATATATATAAAAATCCCTCTTTGACGTTCCTTTCTTAAAAGTTGAAGGTTCAAGTTGATTCGGATCTAAAGTACCGCTCGCGACAACTGATTTCACAGAACAATCATGATGACACGATTTGAGCTGAGTCGACTGCCCGCTTGCCCTTTGATTTAAGACCGAGTATTTTCCGTTTTGCCGCGTATCGAATCCTCGGTGAATTATACTTCGCACCCGACCGCGACGTCGGCTGGAACCGCGCTAATAATTCACGCGTCCCTGTCCCGTTGTCCGCGCGAATTCCTTCATTATTCTCGCCCACTTGATGTATGCCCTTTATTCTTAACGCCCGCGTGTTAATCTTCCACCGATGATTTATGCCGCCGGTCAATGACGCCATATTTAGATGTGTTAATTCTTAACACGACCGTAAAATATCAGTAGCCAATTGCTGCCACAGATCACATATGCTTATTTAGGTATATTGACCATTGTTGGACTAAAATGGAAGCTATTAAAGTAACTCTCTTATTAAGCTGTTACATCGCACAAAATTAAACACCCGACCGATCTGTTGTTAACAGTGCGAGCGGTCGCGACGGCGGCTATTCCGTTGACGCCTTTCATTAAATAATTATACGTTATGCGAGCACCGAAAATTATAGCAATCGCCACGGAACGGCGCAGGGCGTTGTAATGGCTCGTTAAAGTTGATGAGGCCTCGGCTCGTCGCGGACGCCTCGTCGGCCGCCCGGCCGCATCACTTCCTATTCGAACGGGTTTTGGCGTCCATTCGCAATGCTCGACGAAACCGATGTCCGTTTTATCGCGACGGGCGCTGAAAATAGCCGCCCACTCGTTAGCCCGAAGCCGGTGACATAATAAATGTCAGCGCGATCAAAATACGGCGGGCGGTGAGCGCGCAATGCAAGCGGCTTACCGATGCCTCTAATTATATCTAACGCTCTCTTTGCCGCTTACACCGAGACATTAAAATTAACTGCGCCGCGTTTGATCTTTCCATTAGGGCATCACTATAAATACGTCCGTTGTAAAAAGACGAGGCGGTGAGTCAATCTCGCGCCTTCAAAAAGGGAATCCGAAACAATGTAAGTAACACATCCTCTCGTGGTCGTGAACGCGCTAAATCAAAACTGTGGGGCGCTTTATGTGAGCATAGCTTCGCTCTTTGTCGGCGTGGTGTGTCGCGTGCGATTGAAATGTTCAGCGGGTCGGTAAAAGTAAACAGTAACAGACTATACTATCCCACGCTGGGCAAAGGCCTACTCTGTACAGGGGCATAGTCCACCCTACGTGACCCCACTGCGGATTGGCCGACTTCACGTATCTTCGAAAAATTGTTTTTAATTTATTATATCGAATACGTGAAAGTTTTTCCACGAAGATGATTATAAATTTCATTGGGGCTGCCACCGAGATTTGAACTCAAGTATATTGTATTAAAAGCGGGCACCCGGATACTGAGCCATCAGGGCCCGGTATCGATTCAGAATGCAGTCTTAATAAATTGGGGATAGAATTGCGAGCGCGAAATGTCGTCGCGAAAGCGAGCGAACAAAAAGCCCGACACGGTCTTCGTCTGTTTGCCGCGAGATAAAAGTCGCATTGTTCTGCAAACGGAGCAAAAACAATGGACGGCGGGGCGACGCGCCCGGAGCGACATCGGCAATAATTAATTACGAACGTTCGCAGAAATCGCTTGGATGGGGAGCGCGCGACGAAATTCCGCCCCACGCTCGGAGACGTAAAGTAACAGCGTATATGTCCCACAGCTGGGCAAGGGACTCCTTTGTACAGAGGATAGTAGGGCATAGTGGACCACGCGACCCCATGGTGGATTGGTAGACTTCTCATGTCTTCGAAACATTTTCTTTTGTCGTTGATCACGTGATAACTCAGCACTTAAAATTGACTGAAACTGGGTTTTGAACTCGGGTTACTCAAGTATATTGAGTTAAAAACCGGCCAAGAGCGAGTCGGACTAACGTACGAAGGGTTCCGTCCCATTATCTTTAAAAGCGGCAAAAAAAATCATATCTGTTGTATGGGAGCCCCATTTAAATATTTTTTTATTTGTTAGCGGTTTAGTTGTATAGCGGCAATAAAAATACATCATCTGTGAAAATTTCAACTGTCTAACTATTACGATTCATGAGATACAGTCTGGTGACAGACGGACATACAGACAGACAGACAGACAGACAGCGGAGTCTTAGTAATGCCGTTTTTCCCTATTGTTGTTCATATTGACGTTTTACCCTTTGGGTACGGAACCCTAAAAAGCGAGCGCCCGGACACTGAGCTATGACGCCGTATTAGTAATTTCAATACCAACGTAGGGCTTTACGGAAACGTCTTATTCGAGGGGACCGGCCCATTTCGAATGTCGCACTAAAGCTGCCATCGTCGAATCGTATGGCAGTACGTAGATAATTTCGCGACTGCGTTATTGCTTCTCGCAGTTAACAAGCTAAGCCGCTGTAAAGTGCTTATTTACGTTATACAAGGCTATAAACGTTTATTATCCAAATAATAGTTTTGCTTCGGGATGTTTGTTAAAATTATTGCTGTCAGTACATTTCATTGAAAACTATAATAATCGGAATTCAAAACCTGTATGGTTTCCTTTTGTATTTATCCTTTTATTAATATTTTTTTCCCTTATAATCACGTTCAAATATTAAACATATTTTTTTAGAAATAGCTTGGTTATTATCATTATTAATGTATTTATTTATTCTTCTTCTTGACCAGGACCGAGTCCTTCAATGCTGAGGATCGTGACCACATGATGAAATCATGCGGTTTTCTTGGGATAAATAGTGCAGTAGTTTCCTGTTGCTTTCTGCACCTGACTTTACCTGACCTGAGGTTATTTAAGCCTTAAGGCCGCTGAAGCCTCTTCCGATTGGTTGTCCTCCCAGGTTTATGGTTATACCGCCATGGCTCGGTCGCCAGAGCCTCGTCCGTTATTTAGCAGGGAGCATCACGATGGTTGTGAGGCCACCGTCGTCGGCTATTCTAATGAAACACCAACGCGAGCAGGAGAGGTTGACACTTGGGCTGGTTCAGATGGTTACCCAAAACTAATGACACTTTATATTTCTGAAAAAGATACAATGATAAAAAAAGAAGTCAGTTGTAATGCGGAATGAACGTTTAAAACCCAGTGCCATCGATATTGTTATTCCATGTTTTACGTTCACGAACGTACAATTAAAAGAATTATAAAGTACAAATAAAATAAGTAAAGGACAATTTCCCACCTGCCTTTATGGTTAGCCCGCGTGTGACCAATGCCTAATTTAAATTGACTCAGGCTTGGACTCATAGCGGAAACATTCTACTGTCAGAGACCTGCAACAGCTTGATGCCGGAAAAACATTCTTTTGATAACTGCAGGTCAGCCCTATTAAAACAACAACTCCCAACTGAGATCTGGCGTGGTGGATATCACGGGAATTGGTTATCTATAATAATATAATAAAGCTAAAGACTTAGTTGGTTTGGACGCGCTAAACTTGTATTTGAAAAAATCTTTTTGCATTAGCTAGCCAATTCTTAGGAAGGTTATAGGGTATTTAACATCACGCTACGAACTATACGGTCAAAGCAGAAATGTTTCTCGATGAAATCGCACGGAGCAGCTAGACACTTATAACCTTGTGAACGTGGTCTTTCAACAAACAGTCGACCATAAGTAAAGATTTAAATAAAACGTGTAAAAAGTTAAGCGCTAAGTTTAAGCGCAGAAAAAATATGCGATACGTCGGCTAAGGCTAGATATAAACCTAAAGACCTAAAGCCGAAACATTCTACGGATATTCTAGCTGCAAAAGAGTGTATTTCGGATGCTAAAGCTGCGCGAAGTAATTGAGCCAATAAAACACGGGTCTTACCAGCAGCCTTATCGGCTCTGGCGCCGGCTGCCCAATAAAAATCGCACTCCTATCGGTGAGACTTTAGTGTGAAAAGAATACACCTTTTTCTTCACCAAAGTTTTCTAGAATAAAGAGGAGAACAATTAAGGCTTACAAGAACTTTAATTTTCTTAAGAAACTTCACGTGTAAACGATGTACGGTTAAAATGATGAAGTGAATACCGCCGAAAAGACATCTTACAGCCCTAGGGTTTGCAGATGCGTTGAACCTTTTGAAAATTGGGCTTTCACTCACCATGTTAGATACGCGAGTATTATTTACGTAAATACATTTTGGATTGAGCGCAAAGAATCTTCGTGCAAAGCCGATATTTTCGATTTTCTTTTTCATTTTTTTCGTAAAAACAACATGTAAACATTATTTGCAATTGAACAGCAGTGAAGTAGCTCAAAATTCGGATTTGCACGTGTAAGGTTATTATTTACGTCTCCGAGAAATTTTGGATTGAGCGCATTCAATCTCCTACTTGGAATGTAGATTCGCTTTTTACGTTTTTCTCAATGCTTGCTTGCTTAAATTAACAGGAGAGAAGGAGGACATTTTGGAAGGAAGGAAGGAGGAGTTGCTTGCCTTGTTATACGTAACGACACGCTGTATAATATAAGTAATATTAAAACTATATTGTAGAACAAAATTATAGACAAAATTGTGAAACTTGCGCTGTAATCGATTGATTTTTTTATATCAGAAGATGGTAAGCGAGCTGGAGGTTCAACTATTAAAGATGTTAATTCATAACCGCCGCCTATGGATTGTGTTGCTATTAAAAAAGTGGACTCCGGTTACCTCACTCATCAGATGAAACGCAGAAGTGTAAGACTTCCACTTAACGCCTGTCTTATGTGAGGTAGTGGTACTTCCCGCCGTGACGGATGATGGCGAAGAAAAGTCTTGGTCCGCCAATGGGCCGTATTTGTGGTAATATTTAATTTACAAGATGTGATTAACCTAACACAGTACGGCGAATGTGTTGACGAATCACTAATAATTAGATTGGCAGTTCATAAACATCGATAAGTAAATACAGGTACACTGTTACCTGTCGTTTACCCTATTATGTATTCTATGAGAATTGCCGTACAAGGAGATCCATTTTTTTTATTTCCCCAGAGGAACCTGTCAAGAGCGGGCTGGCGCATAAAAACCAACAACCGGGCCCGGCCTTTATAGAAGGCAAATTAAATAGCTCTAAACGACCGCTAAACGATCTAAACTAGGCGTGTACCAGTTACACACGAGACCATTATTGGCACATTTTTTGCTGATACTAGAAGGGACATGCCTTGAGTTCAACTGTTTTATAAAAAATCGAAATAGTTTGTTCGGTTTCAAGTGAATTACCTTATTTTTTCTGAACACTAATTTCTTTACATGTCGAAATAAATTTAGTCGTTTGTTGAATTTGTTGTTTTTCACAAGCGCTCAGACACAAAGAGA